TTAACCTATGTCGGAGGAACCCTAGTGAAGCCTTCAATAAAGTGTGATGCACCCAGCAGGTTTTTGGAAAAAATACCAAACCCAACTTATAGTATTTAGGTCTGAATAGGAAGAAATTAATCTATAAATTGCCATCACAAAATAACACTATCATATAAAAAGCAAGTTATGTTCTATAAATCTTAACCTACATATAAACATAGCAATTGAAAAAGTGACCTCACCCTATAGGAATCCTAATTTGAGGCATCTTTTAAAAACTGTATTAAGTACATGTGTCTACATACTACTGCTTACATTTGTCATAGTATCTGCAACATTAAAATAAGTACTAATGTCAATTATCACTCATTTGAGACAGATTGTTCCTTCTCTAACTATAGACAATTGAATTATGCTATTTTCATGTAGAACTCTAAGGCCACATAATGCAGAGTCATCAATAGTCAAAATAATACCGTATTCCTTATTGCCTTTAGATGGTGGTTTATTAGTTTGGGTGGAATGCTCTAGAAAAAAAAAAGGAAGTTAAAAAAGTAAAGACAATAAAACCTTTGTAAAAAAAAACAAAAACCTCTTACAATTTTATTTTTCTTTTATAAGTTACCTTCATGGTTTTTTTTTAAATTAAAAGTACTATAAAGTATTATAAATGTATATGTCATCAGCATTCTTCTTCCTATCCCTTAATATTTCCCATAACAATATTCTTGGTAGAGCAAACAAATTTATCATTAGTATTTTGTTAAAATTAGCTGTGACAGGGTTCTGCCCTGCGGCTCCCCACTGTCAGGCCAGGCGATGGTGTTTCAGACAAAGAAACGGAACCACAGAGCCCTGCTGCCACTTGGACTCCCAAAACTCGCCTCCTGTTGCCCTTGGAGTCGGGTCCAGGAGTATATTATCTGTAAACCAAGAGCTGTTGCAGTAGAATCCCTGTATCCCTCTGTGACTGAACCCTAAGAGGGTTGCTTGGGATGGGCCCCCAAAGAGTTCAGGGGTTGCTACTGTGCTGAAGGCAAAACAAACCCCACCCCCAAGCAGCACAGCTGTACTGTCTTATAGAAGCCATGGAGGTTCAAGACTGGGAGGGCAAAGAGGTAAAAATCTTGCAATTCAGCACCATCCACTGGGGGGAGAAGAGGGTCCCAATATAAGGTGACAGGAGAAGATTTGACTTTTGGGTGATGGGTACATGGTGCAATATACAGAGCTTGTAACATAGAAACCCACATCTGAAACCTATATGTCCATGTTGAGCAATAAAAAAATAAAATTAACCTGTGGATTCAATGTGACCCTACTTAAAATTAAAACATAGGAAGGCTTAATTAATGATTTAGAATCTCATCTGCAATTAAAGGAAATTGCATCATAATAAAAGCCATTTACAGAAAAATCCTCTATACCAGTGGTTCTCAACCTTCCTAATGCCACGACCCTTTAATACAGTTCCTCATGTTGCTCCCCAATTTCATTGTTACATACTGAACATAATTAAAGCATAGTGATCAATCACAAAAACAATATGTAATTATATATGTGTTTTCTGATGGTCTTAGGCGACCCCTGTGAAAGGGTCATTTGAGCCCAAAGGGGTCGCAACCCCCAGGTTAAGAACCACTGCTAAGTGAAATCAGACAGAAGTGATTCCACTTCAGTGAGGTGCCTATAATAGTCAAGTTCATAGACAGAATATTAAATAGTGCTTATCAGGCCTGGGGGAGGGTGAATAGAGGGTTAATGGATGTAATGTTTCAGTTTGAGATGATGAAAAAGCTTTGGAGACACAGTAGTAATGGTTGCACAACAATGTGAATGTACTTAATAGCATCTAAATGTACCCGTAAGTGGTTAAAATGATGAAAAATAAAATAAAGTAAAATAAAAGTTGTTCTACAAAAATGAACATAGAGTCCAAACATTTCTGAAACTGTTTTGACAGATATTGTAACATAGAGTACTACAGTGAGAAAACATGATTTGGTACTGGCAAAGGCATGGGCAGAATTCAAGGGAACAGAGAGAACTAGAACACTAATGAATTTAATGTATGATAAACCTGGCACTTCAAACAGTAGGAGAGCAGACAAAACATGAGAGTGGGTGGAGTGTAAAGGAATCCTATCAGTCCATATACCATAATGAATTTCAGATGTGCCAACAATTTAATGCAAAGAATGCAATCAGAACACATGGTTGAAGTGTTTGTAATTTGAGCGTGGGGAAGTCCTATAGCTCTTACAATAAAAACACAACACTCACAGCCCTTGGAGCAGAAAAGATCAATAAATCCAACTTAATGTAAAACTTCTGCACATATAAATGACCACTGATAGGAAAATAGTTAAATAAAATTTGGCATTTACCAAAGTAATCACCAGGAAGGTGATTAGGAATAAATCTAAACACACCCCCAATCTAAGACAGTATGCGTAAAATGTGCAAGTTTTAGAAAAATATAAATAGCATGATGCCATTTCTGGATAAGAAAAAAGAGAAAAATACCAAAATATGTATAATTGCACATATAAGGATATTGGTGTATAGAAATAGATGAAAAGACACCTAACCTATTATGTGATTAACTCAGGTAATGAACTAGAAAAAGAGGAAACTATCTTTTATTCTGTATACTTTTGTAATATTTGAAATTCTCCAAATTAAGCTGTATGCTACTTATGCAATGAAAATGTACAAAAACACAATATATATCAAACTGTATATATATTGGCTATTAACAACCAAAGGACTTGTATGCATGCATATTAACATAACCAATCGATACAGACACTGGGGCGGTGGGGGCTTGCCTGGGGTGGGAATGGCTGGGGCAGGGGGTGGGGAGATCAATTGGGGAAAAAGAAGACATATGTAAAACTTTAGACAATAAAAAATTTTTTTAAAAAGTGGCTATGAAAAATAAGGCAATGAAAAGAAACCTAGAAAGTAATGTTCACTTCACTTCAAAAAGAATTTAATTTATAATGAGTTCTGATAAATAAGAAAATATTTTCTAGAACATAAATATAGACCAAAAAAGTTTCATTTCACTGATTAATTAAAGAAATGCAAATTGATACATGGCATCATTTTTTTACCCATCACCTTATGAATGTCTTAAGAATATAAATAAGATAAAGAGTTACCAAACCTAGAAAACTTGTCACTGGAGGCGTGGCTGGATTAATAGGATTGACATCTGGAAAGATAAATTTGATTCTATTCACCAGATTTATCAGTATAAAATTAATCATTTAATTTGATTTTTTATTATTTTAAACGATTATTTCTCAAAATGAAAAATACACTTACTTTCTAAACTTTGCAATTCTACCTCTGGGAAGTCACCTAAATACATAAAAATGTTTGCATAAGAATGTTTACTGTAGCTTTGTATTTTACAACATAAATCTTAGAAGTTTAATAATAAATCATAAAAATAACATCTTCAGAGTAAACCTATATATCTTTTAAAAAATTAACATCCAAGTAATATTATAATACATAATTTTTAAATTTTCTTCTTTTTCACTTAATATTTTAAGGACATTTTTTCGTATTTGCACAATTACATCTACCTTATCACCATTGTATGTTGCTAGTATTCCATTTTTGTAAAGTCATTCTGTAACTGATGATAAAAGTAATTGAGAGTTTTTGATATTTAAGAAAATATTCCTGCCATTTATCTTCTTCATAAAATTTCCTCATATTTAATTAACTCTTATTTGAGACACTTAATTGTATCACTGTTTGAAATCCTTTGTAAATTTTTATGGTCGACTCCATCAAAAGAGCATATCTGCAAACCTGGTATCCCACTGTGCGTATACCCAGTAGGACCCTGTGAGTAAACACGATGGGTAAATGAATATAAACTTCACATGCAATTTTAATGTACAGGTCCACCAAAAAAAAACACCACACCTCTTTCTCCCTGAAACCTCACAACACTCAACTAAGATTCTCAAGGAGGCTACCAGTTATACAGGAGTTATAAAAATGTGTTCTAATTATCATGTTAGCATGCATAATTCCCCTGAATCCTTTAAAATATTAAGACAACAGGAAATATAGAAACAAATTAGAAGCCAGTAATAGAATTTGAGTTCAACACCCTCATTAAATGACAGGAAACTAAACCCCATAGAAATAATGTAATTGAGTAATCAGAGCCAAACTAGGACTCTGAGCGAGATCAGCCCAAGCTAATACTCTTCACACTATGGTAGTTTCCCTGCATCTATGGAGGATATGTCCCAAAACTCCTAGTCAATGCTTGGAATAACAGATACTACCAGACCCTATATATATTTACTAGAGGCCTGATGCACGAAATTCATGCAAGAATAGGCCTTCCCAGCCAAGGTGGATGCTTGGATCCCCCTCACAGCCGGTCAGCTGCCTCGATCCCGGGGCTACAGCCCCAGCTTCTTCCAAAAGGTTGTCTGCAAGGACATCTGGAAGGATGTCCGGTCTAATTAGCATATTACGCTTTTATTATTATAGATGTATATTATGTTGGCCCCTACACATACATAACTATAATAAAGTTTAATTTATAAATTAGGCACAGTAAGAGATTAACAACAATAACTAATATAAAATAAAAGAAATATAACAGTATCCTATATAATAAAAGCCTAATATGCTAAGTGTCTGGTCAGCCATTCAACCAATCAAAGTATAATATGTTAATGATATGCTAAGGCCACCCAACCACTCGCTATGAAGTGCACTGACCACCAGGTAGGTGGTAGACAGTCAACCAGTCGACCAGTTGCTATTATGTGCACTGAACCCCTGGGGGAAGATGCTCCAACCGGTAGGTTAGCTTGCTGCTGGGGTCCAGCCAATCGGGGCTGAGCACGGTGGGTCAGACAGGCCCTGGAGCCCTCCTGCAGTCCCCTCCTGGCTGGCCAACCTCTCACATCTCTCCCCAGCCCCGATCGTGCACTGGTGGGGTCCTTCAGCCTGGCCTGTGCCATTTTGCAATCTGGGATCCCTCGGGGGATGTCAGAGATCCAGTTTTGGCCTGATTCTGCAGGCCAGGCCGAGGGACTCCACTGGTGCACGAATTCGTGCACTGGGCCTCTAGTCTTATAATAAAAGTTACCTGAATGTGGTCTCTCATTCTCAAAATATATCATTGTACTATACTCTCCCTTCTGCCTAAAGTAATGAGATGAAGTGAGTTGGATACAGTTAACCAAGGAATGATTCACATCCCAAGTGGGACAGAGTGGGCTAGCATGAAATGTCATCATGCTACTCAGAATGGCGAGTATTTTAAAACGAATGAATTGTTTATTCTGGGAATTTTACATTTAATATTTGGACCACAGTTGCAGGTAACTAAAATAGCAGAAAGCAAAACCCCAGATAAATGGTGACTACTGTAGTCCTCTGGTTTCTACTGCAACCAATGGGTAGCCAGAGATAGCAGCACTGAAATGAGGAAGACAGCTCCTTCCACCATATGGAAATAATCCCGCAGGTCTGAAGCAGAGCAACTGATAAGTAGTCCATGCAGCAAGACCTCCACTTCATTCTGCCTTTCCGTGATGAAATTTATTTTTTGTTGTCAAATTGAAAAATTCCCAGTAAGGAGAAAAATCGTAATTGTATGAGGTGAGGAGAGGTGGCAGCAATAGAAACATGGGTCTTGTTCTGGAGACAGCAGACATTTTGAAATTTTCCAGTTTAAGTGGGAAAATTTAAATGGTTGCAGTTCGGGAAATGAAACAGTCCCATACTAGTAAGATACCCTGTACAGGTGTCACCAGATCACTTTTTAAATGAATTAAATAGCGAAGCTGATGACACATAAAAAAGACACATTAAAAAAACAGAAGCCACAGACCTTCCAATTCCTGAATACTGATTGGAGTGATGCTGTAAATCTATGAGTTTCCTTTAAGAGCTTCCTATATGACAGGTGCTGTGCTAAGTGCTTTAAGTGCATCCCATTTGAACTGTCCTATCACCCAGAAGGAAGGCATTACATATGAGTAAGTACATTTAAACTTTACACACTTGCCAAGTTCACATAACTGTGTATATGTCCTGACTATGGCACTAAGTATAACAACTAAAATAGCTGTAAGTATGTACTTCTTCCTTCATTACTAAAAATGATGAGTGTAAAATCACCAGAAATTCAAAATATTTTTGAAAAATCACCAGTATTTAAAGAATTTTGAAATAGATAAGCAGGAAATTACTAAATTTGAGAAATGGGTAATGGTAGATTTTGTACTGGGAGGAGTCAACACTGGATAAAGAAATCATGTAGTAGGTTATATCAAATGTTTGAGCATTATTGCTTTATTTTCATTTGTATAAAATTATGCTTTTTGTTCTTGACTTAGGTATAAATTCCAATCATTCAATTTACTCTGAAAAATGGTTGCTATATATTTTATACTTTAATATGCCAAACAACAGAAATTATACACCTGTGTGATATACAGAATGTGCTAAGACCCTATGAAACTTACTCTGAAAAATGATTGTTATATATTGTATATATATGAATATATATTTACACATTATATATATGATGTATAGAATGTGCTAGGAACCTATGAAATTTACTCTGAAAATATATTGCTATATATTTTTACACATAAACATGCCAAACAACAGAAACTTACACACCTGTGTGATTTACAGAATGTGCTAAGACCCTATGGAAACATATAAAATGACAATAGCAGAATTTTTTGTAAACTGGATGTCATACCTCTATCATGGAAATGAATACAAGACAGAGTTAATTACTAAAATGGCTTCTTTTCCATTATTCTGCATCACTGATTTTTTAATGTTAAAGAAATAAAATATTTAAAAACAAACAAGAAGGAAAAAGATATCCTTTGTACCTTTAATACATTTTGGCATCTTAGGCTCCCAATTATTGTTAGATCCACAGAAAACTGTACTGCTACCTTGAAGGTCAAAACCCTCCAGGCATTCAAATACAACCTTTGCTTTGTAGTGATATTGTTTTTCATGTCCTGACACCAGTCTTCCATTCTCGAGTACTGGATAATTACATTTAACCACTGAGAAGTGAAGAAATTTCAGAATTAATGAAAAGCTGCTTTAACATAGAAGAGAAAAACTAGTGCAAAGTCATAATTTCCACTGCGAACAAAGAGACAAGGAATGAAAGGCAGGATGTTAATTTTTTAAAGAAATATTTAATTTGTGCATTTTAATTTCAGTAAATAGATTGAGAGAAATGTAACAGTTTTTTTCCAGCTAAAACAAACTGTCATAGTTTATTGGTTTCTCACTTTTTTTTCTACTGTAAGTTTTGAGAAAGGTCTGACTACCAGATGCAAGTTCTGGGTCAGTTCAAACAAACTTTTGATACTAATCATCTCAGGGGGCTGGGGGGCGGGGTGTGTGTGTGTGTGTGTGTGTGTGTGTGTCTGTGTGTGTGTGCGTGTGTGTGTCTGTAGGATAAATAGCAGGATTTTTTTCAATTACAGTTGAAATCCAATATTATGTTAGTTTTAGGTAAATGGTATAGTGGTTAGACATTTATATAGCCGGGCACCATATACAGGTATTACAATATTCTTGACTATATTCCCTGTGTGTACTTTACACACCTAGGACTATTTTGTAACTACCAATTTGTACTTCTTAATTCCTTCACCTTTTTCACCCAGCCTCCTATCTAACCCCCATCCCATCTGGCAACCTTCAGTTTTTCTCTGTAACTATAACTTTATTTTGACTGTTTATTTCATATTTTTAGATTCCACGTATAAGTGAAATCCTATGGTATTTGTCTTTCTCTGATTTCACTTAGGATAATGCCCTCTAGCTCCACCCATGTTATTGAAAATTGTTAGAATTCACTCATTTTATGGCCAAATAATATTCCATTGTATACAGGGTGTTCCCCAAAAATGTATGCACACTTTAACAGCTGATAGAGCAATTTTGAAAATGACATGTACTTTAGTAAACACTGCCTTTATGATCATGTAAAGTGTGTGTGTGTGTGCATTTTTTGGGACACCCTATATATGTACCACATCTTCTTTATCCAAATGTCTATTGCCAGACACTTAGGTTGCTTCCTTATATTGGCTCTGGTATATGAAATGACCTTCTTTGTCTCTTGTTATGGCCTTAGTTTTAAAGTTATATTGTCTGATATAAGTATTGCTTTTCCCCAGGTGTGTTTTTTTTTTTTAAATTTCCAATTGCCTTAAATATCTTTCAGCCAGAGTGTAATTTTTGATGCTTTCAAGCAAAAAAAAAAAATCTTAATTTGTGCATACACAAAGTAATTCACAATGTATACAGTGAAATACCAAGAACACATGGGTGAAGGGTGGGGAACTCTACAACTAGTACTATTTTTTATTCTGTTTGACCTATATTGAATTAAATTAGAAACCAATGTAACAGGAGGAGCAAGCACATATGGTTTTTGTTTATTTTTTGGTAAAAGTAATTTGAAAGTATATACATATGATTTATACAGAGAGAAAGAAGTAAATGGAAATATTTTTACATTTACACTGAGGAGAGTCACTACCCCATATTTTATACCCAGAAGCCTGCACTCTCTAATAAGTGAATATTCATCTGGCCCATTCGAAGGATTAGGACTATAAATTACTACTTCATTATATTCAAATGTATCTTTGAAACTCTTGGTATATTTTCCATTTGATATTTTTCTAGGTGGTTGACATGAAACCTCTTAAAAAGAGAGAAAAAAACGAAGACATAGAAGGCAAAAGAAAAGGTGAAGGATGAAGACAGTATTTGTAGTGTTCTGTGAACTGTCTTCAGTAATTAATATATGATATCTACAATCTAGTTGTGAATCCAATATCCATCTAGAAGAAAGTTTCTACAAGAAAATGTATTATCCCAAATCAAAATACTAATGTGCAATGAACTTTTATTTTTTTAAATATATTTTTATTGATTTCTGAGAGGAAGGGAGAGGGAGAGAGATAAACAGATCAATGATGAGAATCATTGATTGGCTGCCTCCTGCATGCCCCCTATTGGGGATTGAGCCTGCAACCCAGGAGTGTGCCCTTGACCAAAATCGAACTGGGTATACTTCAGTCTGCAGGACAACGCTCTATCCACTGAGCCAAACCGGCCAGGGCTTCATGTGCAACGAACTTTTAGAATAAAAGTAATTTTCTTTTAAAAAAAACCTATGTAAGTTCCCTATGTTAAATACCTATATTTTTCCGAAAGGCCATGATTAGTCTTGTTCTCATAATTAGAGAACTGGTAACTTAGTGAGAAAATATACTTATGATTAAACTAAAACTCAGGGTTAGTTGAGAAATGCTTCATACTTTATAAATATATCTATTCCTAAATCAATGGTTTACAGTAATATTTAGTAATACCAAGATATTATTGGGGTTTTTTCCCAGTTTCATCCTTAAGAGTGTACAGTAAAAATTTCTGGTGGGTTCAGAGTGTTTAATAATGCAAAAAATGAATTTTCAGTCTAACTTTTAAGCCACATATAAAAAATTTTTGAAAAAATGTAAAACGATGCCACTATCTTCACTCTTTGCTTTGAAAATTTTTTATTTTATGAAAAAAATATGTTGCATTTCTTCATATGTATTGAGCTTACTGTTTTTAAAAATGATTTAATATGTAATTATTTTTAAAACATCTGTTTAAATTCCAATATAATGAATATCAATAGACATACACACCTGCAGAAGATCTCCATGGGGTATTTGTTAATTTAACTGCATAAAGGGGTCACCAGGCCAAAAAAATTTGCAAACTACTTCTTTAAATTCTAAAGAGAGAATATACTTACTTTCACACTGTGGGGGACTATCACTCCATTCCACATTATTTCCAGAAACATTACAATATAGAATGTCTACTCCAATTAAGTTATAACTAAATGAGAAAAGAAAAGATTACTGTCTTCTTTATCAGTTAACAAGAACACATAACAATGAAAACAAGTTTTGTATGTTTTGTTTTTTTTACTGAACCACAGTAGTTTCTGGGGGATATGTCCTAAGTGGCATGTACTGAATGTGCTAACCAAATCTGCAGTGTAATGAGAGAGAAATTCTGAGTGTGAACATGTATTGGCCTAGAGCAAAATGTCTAAATAAATTTATCATTGCTGTCAGCCTGGCCTCTTTGTTATATCTGGCCATGACATCAACATTCACTTCTCTGCCCTTGCTCATGCCGTTCTGCTCAGTCAGGACAAGAATGAACAGAGAGATCTGTCCCTCCATCTTACTTGACTGGATTTGAGTCCCAGCTCCACAACCGAATTGTTATTTGTGTTGGGCAAGTCCCATGATGTTTCTCTTTCTCAATTTCTGCATTTATATAAAGAATAATAGTATAGCCCTAGCCGAAACCGGTTTGGCTCAGTGGATAGAACGTCGGTCTTCGGACTGGGAGGTCCCAGGTTCGATTCCGGTCAAGGGCATGTACTTGGGTTGCGGGCACATCCCCAGTGGGAGATGTACAGGAGGCAGCTGATCGATGTTTCTCTCTCATCGATGTTTCTGACTCTCTGTCTCTCTCCCTTCCTCTCTGTGGAAAATCAATAAAATATATTAAAAAAAAAATAGTATAGCCTAGCCGGTTTGGCTCAGTGGATAGAGCGTCGGCCTGTGGACTGAAGGGTCCCAGGTTCGATTCTGGCCAAGGGCACATGCCCGGGTTGTGGGCTTGATCCCCAGTAGGGGGCGTGCAGGAGGCAGCCGATCCATGATTCTCTCTCATCATTGATGTTTCTATCTCTCTCTTCCTCTCCCTTCCTCTCTGAAATCAATAAAGAAATATATTTTTTTTTTTTAAAAAGAAGAATAGTATTATGTTTTGTGAGGTTGTTTCAAATAGTAGATGAGTTTGCATCTGGAACACAGTGAATGTAGTAGGTAAGTTTTGGTGTTATGAATATTTTTCAGATCAGAATACCTTCCTAGGAATAGCTCAGAAATACTCCTACTTGATGAAATCTCTGATGATTTAAAGTCAGAGTACTACCTCCTTCTTCTGGACTCTCTTTAGAATAATCATGAATAACTCTATTTCTTTGGTATTCGCATTTACTATTTTCCCTTGACACCTCTCTGTATATAACGGGCTTCTCAGTAAAGCTACAACTTCTTTGAAAAGAGTCCTATACCTTAACCTTTGTACTCCTCAAAATACCTAGCAGGCTCTCTGATTATTGACTAGATATTTTCACTTGATCAAATTACAAAATAGACATTGGAACTGCCTATAACTGCTTCCAGATGACTGTCCCCAAGACTCACTATTGACCCTATAATTATAATGTGTTAAGAGAGAATTTGGGGATGATGACACAGTAGGAAGCACTGCTACTATGTCTCCCCAACTAGACAACAATTTCACTGCTAGAATCTGCGGAACGCCACTGTTTTTGGAACTCTGGAGGTTTGCAACTTCCAGGAAATATGGAAAAATAAATAGCACGAATATTGGTCAATTTCAGCTCTTAGCACAGTGGCAGCTACTCATTCCATTCCCACAGCAGGTAGAGGTAAAAGAAAGTATAAGAGAGATAAATAGTGACACACACAAAAAAAATAAAATACAAAATAATAAATGTAAAGAAAAATTCACTAGAAAAATTAAAGGCTGTTTTGAGCAGGCAGAAGAAAGAATCAGCAAATGAGAAGATATGACTATGGAAATTACTGAGTTTGAGGAGCAGAGTGAAAAAAGATGGATGTGAACAGACGACCTAAGGGAGCTGTGGGACCCCAAGAAGCAGACCAATATATACACACAATGGGAGTCCTAGAAGGAGAAGACAAAGAGAGAGGGGCAGAAAGGATCTTGCAAGAAATGATGGCTGAAACTCCCCAAAGTTGATGAAAGACAGGTATATAATAAAAACTCCCGAAGCTCAACACACTCCAAGCAATATGAATTCAAAAAGACCCACACTAAGACCCATAATAATCAAACTTTCCAAAGCCACTGATAAGAGATCTTGAAAGCTGTGAGAAGTGAATCACATGTACAAGGGATCCCAAATAAGATAATAAGGAGATTTCTCATTAGAAACAGAGGCCAGAACAGTGAACTGACTCAAAGTGATGATAAAAAAAAAAAAAAAAAAAGCAAACTGTCAACCAAAAATCCTCCATACAGTAAAACTGTGCTTCAAAATGGGGGAGATATTAAAACTTTCCCAGAAATAAAAGCAGAAGGGGTTTGTCTCTATTATACCTGGCCTAAAAAAAAAAAAAAACTCGAAGGAAACAGACCTAAAAGGTAAAATTAAAAGACACTATAAACTTGAATTTGTATGGATAAATAAACATTTCACTAAAGGTAAATATTTAGGCAATTATAAAATCTATATTATTGTAACAATGGGATTGTATTGGGATTTTTTTAATTTACATGTGATATAAGAGAGTAATCTTTTAAAAGAAAATAAAAAATTAGTGTAGAAGTCAGTATTTCAATTATTAGTGTAGAAGTTAGTATGATATTAACACCTAAAAGGGGTGGAGATGGAGCTGTAAAGGATTCTTTTTTTGTAATTTATTGAATTTAAATTGGTATAAATTCAAATAGGAGTGTTATAATTATAGGATGTTAAAAGCAACCCCAATGGGAACCACAGACAAAAATCACTATAGAAAATACATAAAAGGGAATGAGGAAGAAATTTCAGCATTTCATTATAAAAATTAGCTAAACACAAAAGAAAACTCTAATGCACAAAAGGAGTGACCCCCCCCCTCCGCCGCCCAAAGCTTAAAAGAATATAGAACACAAACAGCACCATGAGAGAAGTTAAGTCCCTCTTTGTCAATAATTTTTTTCTTTATATTTTTATTGATTTCGAGAGGGAGAGATAGAAAGATCAATGATGAAAGAGAATCATTGATCGACTGCCTCCTGCACGCCCCACACCGGGGATTGAGCCCACAACCCCGGCATGTGCCCTTGACTGGAATCAAACCCAGGACCCTTCAGTCCGCAGGCTGACACTCTATCCACTGAGCCAAACCAGTCAGGGCCCGTTGCATTTTTATAGTGTATTACATTTACCTTCTAAATGCACATTTTTTATAAACCTCCAATATCTCAAATAGACACTATTAAAAGAGTACTATAGAAAAAGCCTCCTATTAAGTGCTCAGAACTTATTTTTGAGACTTTCACTCTATTGTAGCAGTCTCAAAAATAAGGTTTTTCACCTAAGAAACTGGCTGCCCAGGTCAATTTTGTCTGGAAACGCCTGACAGAGTTATCTGAAGGTTAGATTACTTTTGCTTGGCAATTCTACCTTCCATTTCTATAAACCCTCTCTCAACTCCCAGGGTTGGCCATTTTAAACAGGGTACACTTTGTTGTTAAGGATAAAGTCACCATGATTACTATATTTTTAATGCTAACAATAGCATTATTATATATAGGAAGTATTATACTATTGTTTTCTTTTAATTTAAATTTCTTTCTATTCATTACGTATCTTTTGTCTCCATAAAAAATCAAAGAGTACATTAGCTATAAGTGTAACTGGTCACATAGAAAGCAAGAAGTCAACATTATAGGAATGCTTAAGTAAAAAACCCCAAAATAAGATTAGTAACATTTACATTAGTCCTCTAATGAGCAGCTTACTTACCCCTCATTACAAACATAATGAGCCTGTGAACCAAATTGAAAAGTTCCGTGTGTGAAAAATACTTGGGCATTTTGAGGTTCTACTAGCTGTGGACATGATTTTCCTGAAAGAAAAATTTCAAATATGTTGTTTTATACCAATTGCAATCCAGATTTGAATCAAAATTGGACACTGCTCTTTTGAATTCATGAAAATATTTTCTTTCCTTGACTATCAAAAGCCCAAATTTAAAATTCACGTATCCCTTTACAACCAATTGCCAAGGAAGAGATTCTAGGGAAATTTTCAAAAACAGTGCTACCTAAAATATATTTTCCCATGAGATAACCATCCTTACAGTAGTGACATAGAGAGCCTACAATGTGTGAAAATGTCTAAGGAATAAAAAGAAAAGTTTTGTGAACTCACTTGTACAAGCCTCCTGGAGAGGTGTCCATGTGTTATCAGGCTGACAAACAGCAGAGGTGGGAAGAACAGGAATAAGACGCTTGTATCCTGGGAGACACTCATATTCTACTGTGTTCCCAGGAGTATAATGGGGTGCAGGATTACCCTTTAGTTCCATGGACGCAAATGTCGGTAGTTCATCACAGCCACCTCGGCCTGAGATAAGAACATGAGAGTAAATTATTTTAACTTTTTCATCGGCCAGGGACTGTGGTCTGGATGTAGCTTCATGATACTGAATAAATGCAAAGGTTTTTGAAAGATTTTAAATGATTGTCTCAACCTTTTACCCAAGTGATGGTGGTAGTGATGTGCCATGCTTGCTTTAAATAATATCTGATGAGCTTTTGATTTGTTGGAGAATAAGGTGAAAATTCATTTAACAGTAAACTGAAGAGACAGCAACAATGTTTTTTTTTATTTTAAAATATAGCCACAGATATGCGTCCTTCCCCATTTTTTTCCGAATTCATCTCACACAACTCCCCTAATAAAATATCTTTAGTATGTCGGGTCAGATTACTCTTCCACAGTTTGAAACAGTGAGAAACCTCAGTATTCTCTAAGAAGGCAAGTTCCTAGGGGTTGTAAATCATATGTCTTCTTTTTCTACTACGTTCTGCATGAAGTTGTTCCTCAAGAAATGCTATAGTATCAGGTGATTAATATATAAGCATTGTGCATTTCATAAATCAAAATATGGGTTAAAGTATTTTAAAATATAAGATTTCATATGTTTCATATGTCAACCCTGAGAAAAAGTATGCCTGCCAAGAAGTACTCCTTGTGTTTAATTGGGTTCAAATTCATAACTTGAGTCTAGCATCCATTGTTTACAGAGGTCTTTCATGCACACTGCCTAGTAGGGAAAAACTGCTGACTAAGCTCCAAGCTCTTGCGCTGTGTTCTTGCCCTCTGAGTCATTAAAAAAAAAAAAGTCCATAGCCCAATGGATGTGGCTCAGTGGTTGAGCATCCACCCATGAACCAGGAGGTCATGGTTCCATCCCTGGTCAGGACACATGCCTGGGTTGCAGGCTCCATCCTTAGTAGGGGGCATGCGGGAGGTAGCCGATCAATCATTCTCATCATTGATGTTTCTCTCTCTCTCCTTTTCCCTTCCTCTCTGCAATCAATCTATCTCGATCTCTATCTCCATCTCCATCTCTATCTCTATCTAGTTCCCTAAGGTGGCTGGCTGATTTGTATATTCAATATATTCCTACAGTAAAGCTATTATATTGCTATTCTGCAGAATTTTTACTTCTGGGTTTTTCTGTAGTTATTTTTCTACTTAAAATAGTGTCATTTCTACTTCAGAAACTCTTTTTCTTTTTTGTTAATATATAATTTTCTTTTTGCTACTTTGATTGGGTGTTTTCCACTATCTTGCCTTTCAAATCACTGATTCAATCCTCAGTTTCATCTAAACTGTTATTGATTCCTTCTAGTGTATTCTTCATTTCAGTTATTATAGTCTTCATTTCTAAGTGGTTAGTTTTATGGTTTCTATGGTGTGTATTTTTTTTATGTTTACTATCTCTTTGTTGAAGTTCTTTCTCATTTGATCTATTCTTCCCCAAAGTTTGTTGAGCATCTTTATAACCAGTGTTTTGATTGCTTATCTCCATTTAGTGTAGTTCTTTTTCTGGAGTTTTCCCCTGTTCTTTAATTTGGGATATGCTTCTTTGTCTCCTCGTTTTGGCTGCTCCTCTGTGTTTGTTTCTATGTATTAGAGAGATCTGCTACATTTACCAGTTCTGTCAGGGTGGCCTTACCTAAGAGGTTTCCTTTGGTGCCCAGTGGCAGAGTGGCACTGTCCCTTGTGTGGGTTGTGTGTAGCCTCCTGTTGTAGTTCAACCTTGATTGTTGTTTGATCCTCAGTAGGTGGAGCTGTCTCACAGGGTGACTAGCTCTAAAGACTGGTAATGACCACAGTGGGAGCTGATTCACCCCAGCAGGGCTCCTGGTGCCTTCTAAGACCACCCTTTGTATGTGCCTTTTGTGGAGCTAACAGAGTGTTGCTCTGTTGTGATCTGAGGTCGGCCTTCACATGTGTTGTTTCTGGGGCTTCTTGAGAGAGGCTCCACTATAGGCTGTCAGCCACTACCCGTGCCCAGCCAAGGGCCATCTGGTAGGAGCTACAAGTGATCCCTGGTTGGCAAATGCCTGTACTGAGCCAGGAGACTTGTGGGAGAAGCCACACCATGACTTGAGGCTAGCTGCCATCCAGGCCAGGCCTGGGCCACTCAGCAAAAGGCACAGGGCACAGTGAAGCCAGACACTACCTTCTTGGGTCCTGCAGATCTTGGAGAGATTTTAAGAAAGCTTGCAGCATGAGCCATGTCTGCCCATGAGGCACAGCCACTGAAAGAGCCAAGCACAGTGTGTGTATTGGGTGGAGCTGAGTCTCAGGGAGTCATCAGGGTTAGGTGAGTGGTAGTTACTGGGTTAATGCAGATTCAGATTTGGTTCCTCTCTGTCCCGGCATGGGAGAGTGCTCAAAACAGGGACAATAATGGCCCCCACCCTGAAGCCACACAAGTCAGTTTCTCCCCACATGTCTTGATGCCTTCGAGCTGCTGTTCCTTTCCAGGTGCTTTGGGTGAATGCCTGTGAGTGATTGAGTCTGTGTGCAGGCTTTCTAGGAGAACATCTGGGTTTCCGGCAACCCTCCATCTCACCAGGGTGGGACTGAATCACCACTGATTTTCACAGCCAGCCGCCATGGAGACTTCTCTTCCCAGCACTGATGCCCTGGGTTTAGGGAGCCTGGTGTGGGGCTGGTATTTCTCGATCTTCTCCTTCGCTGTAGGAGTTCAGCTAGTCTTCAGGTGGGTCTCCAGGTTGACTGCTATATAACTGAGTTGTAATTTGATGTGGTCATGGGAGGAGGCAAGCAGAGTGCTTACCTACTCTGCCATCTTGACTGGAACACTCTGATCTCTGAAATCTTAAGCAGCACAGTTGATCAGTAGTCCATGAAATTATCTCATTTAAATAATTAAGGACTTTTCCTGTCTTTCCATTGCTATGAAATTTAGTTTCGGTTGCCAAATAAAAATTCCTAGTATAGAGAAAAAGAATAATGGTATGAAATGTGTAGAGGTGGTAGAAAAATGAGTCTTGTTCTGGAGAGAGGAGAAACATTGGAGTTTAAGTGGTGCTGTATAAACAGAACTAAAGTGGTCACGGACAGATACCCTATTAAAGGTTTCAACATGTCTCTTTTAATATGACTAAAAGGACAAAAGTCACTGACAGAAAACATGGCAGCCATGGCCTTTCCTCTTCATGTATTGATTGGAATAATGTTGTAAGTCAAAATTAGCTTCCTATGTGACAGGCACTGTGCTAGTGCTTTAAGTGCCTCCCATTTTAATTTTCTATTATCCAGGAAGAAAGACATTAAATCATTTTACGTATAAGTGAGCACATTTACTAATGAAGCTTATGTTATTGCCCAAGTTTACACACCTATTTATATCTGTGGACTATGGCAAATCAATTTAGAATCACAAGTATAACAACTAGAATAGCTGCAAAAAGGTTATTTTTCTTTTTATTATTAAAATGATGGGTGACCAAATCACCAGTCAAAAGATTTTTTAAAAATCCACAGGTATTTAAACAATTTAGAAAAATAAAGCAGAAAGTTACTAAGCCTGAGAATGAGAAACTGTAGGTTATTTCCTGGGAGGAGTTGACATTGAAAAACAAAATAATGTAAACTGGATCAACCACTTGGTTATTATTTTCATTTTACGAAACGATGCCTTTCATTCTTGACTCATATAGGTGAAATTTCCCACGCTTCAATTTATTTGAAAAAATGTTTCCTATACATTTTGACACATAAAAATACCAAATAACAGAAATTTAGAAACATGTGTAATGTACATGATGTGTTAAGAGCCTATCAAAACATAAATTATATGTCATACCTCTGGTCTGGAAATGAACACAACACAGAGTCACATGCAAAAATTACTTGCTTCTTTGCAATTATTCTGTATCACTGATATTTAATGTCAAAGAAATAAAATAAAATAAGAAAGAAAAATACACCCTTTGTACCTTTAATACATTCTGGCATCTTGGGCTCCCAATTATTGTTAACTCCACAGACAACTGTCTTGTTGCCTTCAAGGTGAAATCCCTCCAGGCACTCAACTGTAACCTCAGATTTGTAGTAATATTTTTTCCCAAGTCCAGAAATGACTTTCCCATTCTTGAGTACTGGATATTGACATTTGACCACTGAAAAGCGAAGAAATTCCCGGATGAATGGAAAATTGTTTTAACCTAGGGCAGAAACATTACTGCAAAGTAGTACTTTCCACTGGGAACAAAGAGACAAGAAATGGAAGTCAGGATATTAATTAAATAAAATACTTTAATTCCAGGGAAACAGATATAGAGATATCTAATAACCTTTTCCCGCCTAGAACAGACTCTCATGATAGATTATTGGTTTCTTATGTGTTTTTTAAATAGTGGTAAGTTTTGAAAAGGTCTGACTACCAGATACAAATTCTGGGCAAGTTCAAAAGCAACTTCTGATTCTCCTTAATTTAGGGATTTAAAAAAAAATTCATGCTGACACTGA